CCAATTCGGCTACAACTACAATCAATGCGTTAAATCTCCTTGGAAAGATATTCCAACTTTATCAGCATCTAATCTCAAAGATCTTGATACATCCATTCTTAAATTAGCACAAATAAATGCACAACAAAGCAAAACTTTCTTTGTCAATGCACTCAACACCACCAGCAACAATATTGTTAAAGGCTCCGGAGCAGTAAAACAATATGTGCAGATTCATATGATTTTGCTAACACACCACAACCCGAAATGTCCACCTAGACTCTGAATCGAGCTGTGTTGGCCAACACCAAGATGGTGATGAAGTCATAAAGTGCAGTGATGTGGAAAATGTGAATAAATTTAAACCTACATGTGATATCAGAGCATAAGTAAAATACAGTAAAGTAGGCTGAGAATTATACCATTGAAGGTAATCTCAATACCAAGATTTGCCAAGAATCCTCGTCGACACGAAAGCTCGACACTAAACCTGGAAGGGTGAAAAATAAAGGATAGTGGGCCTAAAAATAAAGTTATATAAAAACCTTTTTGAAAACATTATAACCCCTTGCCGTAAAACAAGTATAGTTTTCAAAATATACGTACTATGTATAGTATGAAAATACTTACCATAGCCTGCAATATCTCAATAATTCAATACATCACAAAATTCATAAATAGGCATATAACTTCCAGTAATCACTATATCTCACAGAAATAAACATATCACATCGAGTGCTCATCGACATATGCTGACATACGAGTTCATGAGAGATATTTTGATATGAACATGACTGGGTGTAATAATGATTTACACTCTAGTACTACAATTACATGAAGAATGGCGCTATGCGCAACACATACGAGTCCTAATTGCCTATAGCAATCTAGGATAGGACTGCACCTACAATGGATCCAAAGTGAGTGTACGGTGCGATGTGAACATACATGTGAAAGACTAGCCCTGGCCCGGGCGAGCACTAACACCAATTTAGCACACGATAAGCAGATAACGTAAATAGAATCATACAACAGTAAATCGATAATTCATGTCACCATAATACTATTCATGGCCATATTAAGGCATCACGTCAAAGTATGCATAAATGTGCATCCTGTAGAATTTATGGAAATTTCATAAATTTCGTTAATACTCTAATTCTTAAAAACATTAGTCTAAACTAAGCGCATTTTAGAATTTTTTTTATCAATTACGTAAATGGAAACTAAATAAATATATAATATTAAAGAAACAAAGACTCACTCACAAATCATGTCGTCAAGTCGAACCTGCCTCGTGACATCGAGAGTCCTCGCGTTGTGTTTCACCTAGAAACAAAATTATTTACCTAAATATGTAACATACTAATGTATAAACGTGTTTTTGTACAAAATACAGCTAATAAAGGAACTATTTTAATGGTTGAATTTCGAAAAACGGATGGTAGATTCGGGTTCGACACGTCGAGAAACCTAAGGAGGGACCTCGAGTTCCTCCACGCGCCACCGTACGCGCTGCCACAAGATGGTTGCACTAACAGCCACGCACTGCACGCGCCACTTGCAATGGCTACCCACGCGCTTAATGCACCTTCTTTAAGAAATCTGCAGTTTTTGCAGATTGCAGGGTTGACTTCCATAGCTCATTTTGAGCTTGATTTTCAACCAAATTTGATGATTTAAAAATCAATGTGAAGCTAGAAATGTAGGGAACAAAACCATACCAAAGTGAGGCCAAGTTAACATCATTGTTGGCCAGAAAAATGGCCTAAAGGTGGCTGGTCAATCATCGAAAAACTAGGGAAAAATCCTCCCAATGGTGTTCTGCATTAAATTGTCCCCCAATCTCAATTTTAAGGTTACAACAATATAGGCGATTCAAAATAAGGTGTTTGGGCCCAAAATATCAGTTTGGGTCGAGTATAGAATTATTCTTGGCCCAGAAGGCCTTACGACAGGGTTATCAGGGATCGTTTAGTTCTGGATCGGTTAGGTCGTGGGCTTCCAAACCTGGGTCGGTTAAGTCATGCTGCAAGACGAGTCGAATCCTGGTGTAATGAGGAGTTTCGGCAAGATTAATAACCCGGAAGTGAATCCGGCTCAATAAAGGACTAGGTTCACAATTATAGTGAAAATAGGACTGGTCGAGTTAGTGTTTGATCAGGAGAAGAAGTTTTAATCCGGGTAGGTTTTTAACTCGACCTTGAAGGTATCTGGTGCTATAAATAGAGGAGGCTGTACATCGTTCGAAGCCCCTCCAATTCAACACACAACTGCCCTGCGCAAACTTTCTCAACTACTTTGAGATTTTTATTTTCTCTTTTCGCTGACACATCTTCCGTTGGCATCAACAGCACTGTGAAAGCAACCGGTGATATCTTAAGTCAGCATAGATAGCTCTATCGCCGTAGAATCAGCCAATCTCACAGCATCTTCCGTTGGCATCAACAACACTGCGGCGATGACGGTTGGTTACCTATCCAAGTCTCGGTCGAGAAGGATTTCTGAATTCTTATTGATTGAGGTCATCTCATTAGCCTTCTCGGCGAAGTGAGGTGTTACAGTTTACTGAGCTCGGTGCATTGCATGCCGAGTTATTTTATGATTGGATACTCTCAAGTGGGATTTAGAGTTCGGCATTCAAACGGCCGAACCACGTTCACTATTAAGACTTATATTCGCTTTGAGTATTTGTGCCCTTACACTTTGGCGTCGATTCGGCGTGAGTTTACTCTGACGAATAACATCACTGTGACCGAATTCGACGACGACGATTCGTGAACTTCGTAAGAATAGTAGCCTTGTCTTCAGGTTCGAGAACCCAAGAGGCCGAGATGTGTTCCTTCCTCGGTCGCAATCGCAAGACGTAGAAGTTAGCTGCGCACCCAACGCAACATCAATAAATTTAGTCCTTGGCCGAGCTTGGTCGACGAGTTGGCACGCCCCGCATTCATCGAATGACGTAGTTAGCTTATAGATTACTCGGCCTGCGCGCCACGTAGGCTTGGTAGTTTTTAGGGTCAACAGAAGGATTTGAGGGTCTCAAGGCTCACCATGGTCGGAGAAATAAGTGAATAGTGATAAAAGTCACTATGCAAGTCCATTTTTCCACTTGGGTGTTCTGAGCAAACTGGGTACAAGAGTGGTGGTCTTTCACAAGGTTGATGGTGATGATATGGTTGTGGTTTAGTCGTGAGGTTCGCCGAAGTACGGCGAAGTGGTGGTGGTGCTGCTCGGCTTCATTGTTTTTACAGAGAGAAGAAAGGGATACTTTGAGGGAAAGAGAGAAGAGAGAGAGAGAGAGAGAGAGAGAAATGAGAATTGAAAAAGAGAGAGGTCCAGGAGATTAGGGGACACGGGATGGGGAGAGAATGGGAAATTACCAAAATGCTCTTCACGTTCGTAGTTCCGTAAAATTTTAACTGTAACTCCAAATTCGCTTCCGTTTGCACCTACGCGTTGGTACCGTTGAGTAATTTAAGAATACGATAAAATAATAGCTCATATGCGTCACTAAAAGATGGTCAACTAAAATCAACAATCTCGCCTCTAGGGCATTTTCGTCAATTCATTCTTTTAAAATTAATAAATTCGTAAAACTAGAGACTGGTTGTCACATTTGTGGTAGACAGTTTCGCTTTCTCAATGTGAGGGATCAAAGATAATGATCAATCAGTCTCCTAAATACTCACATAAGTACAAGATGAAATTGTTTGTTGCTGAAAAAGCATTGACCTCCACCAAAATTGAAGTTCCTTATTTAGTATCTTTGACAAACTTTTGACCATGTTGTGTAGGGATGTTGCATTCCAAATTACTTCTCAATTATGAAATATTTGGAAAATAATACGTGAAATTATATTAAACTTAGAATTATCTACGTACTGAATAATACACACACACATATATATATAATTTGTAAAAGAAAAGAAATGAATGTAAGAAATCTAAAAGGTGTTTTAATATCTTATCCTTCTGTGTTTGCCCTTTTGGCACATACCTAGATAAAAACACGTCGAATTTTGAGCTCTTGACAGCATCATCATATACAGATGTATTAAGCTACCAGGTGTTTCACCGCAAGGCGTTAAGGACACCGTGGAGTCAGGGACTCTGAATGATACTGGCACGATTGCACTTTTTAGTTTCGGTTGCCTTTTTATCCACTTTTTCTTGGACTTTATGTTTTTTTGGGTTTTTTTTTTTTAAGAAGAGGAATGACATTCCAAGGCAGAAGCCGAAAAAAAAAAAATTTGGCAAACTAACCTTTTAATATACGATTCAACTTCAGGCGGTAGAAGTAGAACACTTTAGTTTTCTCCAAGGCCTCAACAACTTGTGATACAAAATTTAAAATTAAGGGTTTGTTTAGTAACATTTCATTATAGTTTTTAGTTTTAATTTGTTAAGTTATAGATTCGAAAGAAGTATATATTTTCTCTAGTGAAGAATGAAGAAGGGCGAATGACAAATAATAGAAGAATTGTGAACGAAATTGTATGAAAATGAAACACAAAATAAACAAAAACTAAGAACCAAAAAAATAAAAACTTTTTAAATTTGTGATCACTTTCAAGCTTTTTGTTTTTTTGATATTCTCCGTCTCTTATTCCTCATCCTTCCACAGATGTAAGAACTTGGGTGTATCTTTTTCAAAGTTACGATCATTAGTTGATGAAAACTTCAAAAAACCAAATCTACGTGCTTCTTGTTTGGACGGAGATTGATGCATTGGCTTTGCAACTTGGACATATGTAAGGTCTAAAATATCGATAATATCCTGATATTTCTATCGAAATTTCTGTGTTTTTAGACTACCGATATTTCCGATATTATCGATATTTTATACCTTGGATATATGTCAATGGTTTCACCAACTTCATAAGCCCCACATAGGAGTGAGAAATAGTTTGCCTTATCTATTTCCTTTCCAAAAATCAATTAAAAATTAAAAATCTTATCCAAATGTTGTCTCGACTAAGCATTTTAGACGAAATTATTTGAACGTTTCTGTTTAATAATAAATTAATTATAATACTCAACTTTTTCTCTGCATAATACATTATTAATTTATACAACAGGCATAATTAAATAAAAACATCAAAATAGAAGTTAATTCATTCCTTTTTATAAGTTGATTTTGTTGTCTCCCTTCAAATTTTTAATCGTCACTCGTAATTCACGTAAATTTGCTGCACCACTCCACGCTGGCAATTGCATTTCAGGCCAACTGTCCCAACAATCTCCAAATGTTATCCTCACCCGCAGGCCGTCACCACCATCACCTCTCGCGAAAACGACTTGTGCCACCTGCCATCCTCATCACATCAATTATCCTTTCTGGATAAAATTCCAGTCAAAATAATCACCCCCTCAAACCTCCACTACTTACAGTGCGTCCTCATCCCACAACCGTTGGATTTAACGACAAATTATAAACATGGAAACCAACCGTCTAGATTTGTTCGAATTTACGAAGTTGGTTGTACATCCAAGATGCGGCGTCAAGTACAGTTTGTGCATTTGCCGCGTTTTACAATGCAAAACAAAAGTAAAATAAAATCTCATTATATATAATTTAATTTATTAACCCGATGATTTGATCTAATTATTCCAAAATCGTCAAATTAAGTACGCACATAGAGCCGGCCGTTCACGGTGGAGTCGGAAACCGCGTCGTCAAACCCAACACAGCGGCATTTGGCGCCAGACACTGGAGCAAAAATGGCCGAGTCTGTCGAGAAGGTTCTCTCCGTCAATGGATTGACGGTCCGTTTGTACGGACCGAACCACTTGTTCTGCACATAACGGTTCTTCCGCCACGGAGGCACGGAGAGATCTGTGCTCTTCAACGATCTCTTTGCCGCGTCGCACGTGACCCGAACGATACGCTTCAGGTCCTCCGAGCTGCCAACGAAGTTTCTGGGCAGAAGTTGCAGCAGCCGCGAGTACTGGCTCGACGGCCGAGCGATTTCGAACTGGGCGGCGAAGTCGAGGTCCACGAAGTACCGGCTCTGCCACATGGAGGAGCCCGATTGGACAGGAACGACGTCGATGAACTCGTAGCTCCCGGAGGTGATGTAGCCGGAGGAGGTCCATTTCGTCTTGCAGATCGCCGCATTGTGTCCCAATCCCCTCAGAAACGACATCACGCTCCGCCGCAGAGCCGACTTGCTGCTGCCGCCGCCGTTGGATCTCAAACACGCGAACGCCTCCTCCGCCTGGGAGACGTGAGAACGGAGCAGCTTCAGGTACGAGTCCGCATTTCCGGAAACGGCCACGGACCTAAGGACGGAGTCGATCGCGTCCGCGTCGGAGGCCGAGTCGACTCGGTCCGAGTCGGACTCGTTGTCGGGAAAACCAGCGGTGGACGACTCGTCGTCTTGGAGGAAGCGGTGGACGAGCTCGGAGAGGCAGGGGGAGTTGTAGTCGCCGGAGTGCTCGCTTCCGCTGCTGACATCACTGAATCCGGAGCTGTATCCGCCGACTAGTCGCGCTTTCACCCGATCGTCGAGCGGGTAAGTGACCCTCTTCGATCTGGTTCTAACAAAACCAGCCATTATTGATTAAACAGTTAATCGAACTCGAAACGGAAGAGCGATTAACTTGCTATCGAAAAGTATGAGCAGGGGAGTTCGGGAGAAACTGAATAGGTGGGACGAATTTATAGGGGTGGAAAAATGGGAAGCGTTTGGAAGGAATAAAAATGGGATATTCGGTTTTAAAGTGGTTGGTAACTTAGTGTTAGGGAGAGAGAGAGAGGATATCCGAGGGGGAGTGGTACAGGTGGCGGCATATCCAGTGGCACCTAGGGTGGTTTATTCGAGTGTGTGACGCGGAGGGTGTAGCCGCTGAGACTAGTGACCGCCTTGTGGTTAAGGATGGTTATGGTGGGGTAGGGGGTTGTCGCCCACGAGACTGGCACGTGATTGAATGGGTGTCTGGAGTTAACTACTCCTCTTGGTTCGTGTTTGGAATGTGGGATTCTGGATGGATAAGTATTAGAAAGATGCGAAAGGATCATCTCTCTAACATTTCATATATGTTGGTCTGGGTCCAAGTCATTTATTGAGGTTTGGACTAGAGAGGACGCGTTCCATGCTAAATTAGTGTACTTAATACATTAAAGGTTTGGCTTACAATTTTTACTTTTTAATGTAATATATCGTTGTATAAAATAATTATTATTTTATACATTGGAACGTAAGTTACGTTAGCACAATTTTAAGAATAAGTAAACACTAAAAGAATACACACTTGTAAATGTCTGATGCTGTGTAGTTGTAAACAAACAACCCATATTTAGATTGCATTACGCTAGTCTTCAAATCTCTCCAGTCTCTAAGCCATTATAAATGTGTGTGTGTGTGTAGTCTGTTTATGAAAGTGTAGAACAAATGTGTTTGAAGCCGGGAATCAAATTACCAGGCCCATAGATCGCTCTGTCCCTCATTCCTTAATAAGTCATATATGCTCAAAGTTTGATGACTTGACATGATGAAATTGGGATACTAAACCGGACAATTTCAATTCCAAAATATCACCGATAACAAATCTCCATTTGTTTAAGGGAGTTTCTATGAATTTAGATAAACTGAGTTTCAATCACTGATGTTTTGTTTAAACAATGTTATTATTTCTATTTTTCTTATCACGTAACTCAATGTAACGATATTGTAAAGTAGGTGCTATTTAGTGAAGCAATTGGTGGGAAGGGTGGGAGTGAAGTAGGTAGTGAGATATATTTATGGGTTGGGGTTTTATATTTTAAATATTTTCAATTGGATTATGATAAAACAAAACTATTAGCTACATGATCCCAATAAAACTAGGTGTGTGTGTATTTATATATATTTTACAATTCTTAGGACTGGTTTGGTATTGCTGTGCTTTGAAAAAAAACTGCTGTGTGAATAAACGGCTATACTGTAAGAATAAGCGGCTGTGAAATAAATCAGCAGAGTGTTTGGTAAACTTTTTTGTAAATGTGCTTTTGGAAAAAAAAAAGCAGTCTGATAGTGGGTCTTTTCATTAAAGGAGCACTGTAGCTCCGTGTGCTTTGAAAAAAAACCAGTTTTTCAAAGCTGCAAATAGCAGCTTCAGCTTTTTCCTTTGATTTTAGCTTATTCTCACAGAAGCTTCCAAAATAAGCCTTTTTTTTTCAGTTTACCAAACACCTAAAACCCTCACAGTTTTTTTTCATGAGTGCTTTTTTTTTAAGCACCTCACTCCCAAACCACCCCTTACTCTCTTGTGGTTGTGGGGCATTGGAATTATTCCAAGGGTTTAAACCATTATATTCTTTGTGGCTAAGCTCAGGAAATTGAAAATTCGGACCCGTATGTCTCATCCAACCTAATTCTTAATATTATCAGTTTATCTGAAATTCGAGCTTGGTGTGGATTACTTTTGAAGGACGAATCATGTCGACATAAACGTTGTGTCAATCTTCTTCTTAAACATAAATTATGTCTCTTGGTGAGTGGAAAGGGTAAGAATTTAGATCATGAGTTTAATAATTCAATTGGTCATCTTGAACCAACCTTTTTCTGTGGGAACTTTCCTCGACCTCCAAGTAACAGTTTTGCTTGACTGGTTGAGGAAAATGTATTCACAGTTCAATCCATTAGGATAAGGGCTTAAGGCTAATAAAGTTGATTAACTAGCAAATTTTTTATCAAAATTAGTTAGCAACTAAATAATTGTTTACCCCATCAAGAAAATGCTATTTACAGCATATTCCCAAACGCTATGAAAATGCCAACATTGATATCATTTCAGGAATGCTATGACACGTTCACTTCTATTTTGCCCTGGACTGACATATATAGTCTTTTTTTTTTAGTACATCGATATTTTTACATTAAGAAGAGGAGGAGTTCGGCTAAGCCACACAATGGGTAGCCTAATTGGGTATCAAATTCACCATGCAAGAGATTCGAACCTAAGACCTTTCACTTCCAAGTGAAAAGGAATACCAACAAACCGTAGTACTGAGTGACAATTGACATAGCTTTTTAGTGCTATTATATCAACACAATATTATTTATACTCAAAATTAATAATTTGGACTAAATCACACAATGTATATCAAGATAGTCCATTCATCGTAAATTAAGTACAACTATTATAACATGTTCAAACGCTATCTACGTGACATTGTGGTGTATAGTACTATAGTGCCAATTGAAACAGATTGATGCTAGCGAGAACAAACCATATTTTGTACATGCTGTGGTAGTTGATAGCTGAATTCCTTACTCAGTCATTAAAAAATGAGCTTAACCATCAACTACCGTATTATGTTATTTAAAAATAAAAAATAAAAAAAAATCTAAATCTAATCTCATTAGCATTTTCTATTAAAATAGGGTTCCATTCTATAAAGGATCTGCATGCATTAAAAAAACAGTATAGCGTTGGCATTTTGCATTTCGCGCCGGAATATTCTACGAGAAATAAAGATCACTGTGAATTTGTTGGCCCCACATTAAAAAAAGTACTGTAGTACATGTACAGTTTTGTCCAAAATATGTCGACATGATTTCGACACCATTGCTTAAAACCTTAATTCTCATGGAGTGAAGAAATAAGTTACTCTTGCTTCTACGCGTGCGTGCTTCCAATGCACAATCTCAATGTGAAAAAAAAATAACAAAAAACCAACTTTCTTGAGTATTTACAAGTACTTAGAATTCATTGGAAAGAATTTTTAAAAAGATTGGAAGCATTTTAGAGAAAATAATTTTGGATTTTAAAAGAACTCGAAGTGTTTTTTTACAAGAAACAATAGTTATGTGATTTTTACAAGAAGCATTTAAGTGTTTTTGAGGATTTAATTATATTGTAATTAAGAATTGGTTTAAAAAATATTTTCACGAAAAACAGTTTCAACCATTCTAAAAATACTTCAAGCGAGCCTTAGTGTCAATATATATATAGTCATAGTCATTAGATTTGATATGTAATCTTTGATCACTTAGTTTAAGTCTTTAAATAAATTTCAAAGTGAAATAAGTACATGTAGATACTAAAACAAAAAGGGTAACGCTAAGGAAACTAAATTTGTACATAAAATTTTTAAATTAAATGATGTGTCACCTATAGGTATGAGCACATTTGTCGACGCTTAAGTAATAATCCAATAATAACAACCACATCATTTTATTTGCAAATTTTATTTAAAAAATTTGATCACCTTAACATTATCCAAACAAAAATCGTGCTTTCACTTATCATAAAGCGCAAAGCCTAATTTTTGCACCAATTTTTTTTTCTTACATAGTTGTAGCACTTAGTTTAACAAGTTCATGTTTCTCTATTAGGTTAAAGACTAATGGCATTGTTTGATTCGATTACATATAAAATAAAAAGTGAAGTCATAGTGTTGAGGAAGCCAGTCTATGCATGAGGTCGAAAAAAGCTTGGAAGTGTAGTGACATGATGAAGGATGATTGTGTCGGGATTCCCTCCTTATAGTGGAGTCCTTTGGCTATGTGTAGCGACTTTCCGATGTTTCCATATCTGAAAAGATAAAGTGAAGAGACATGTATTATGTTTCATCTACTAAACTTACTTTTACTATTATATAATACCTTTTACAAAATTATTATTCACACTTTAAAATTTAGGATAACGTTCATTTTACTATTTTAAAGTATCGTGGTTTTCAAATTTTTATATATTAAGTTTTTATTTTTTATCCCAGTCTATACCTAAAGTTATATTTTCTCCTAGAACAAATTTCTGTTAGGTTGACCGTTAGTAACTCCGTTAAAGTGTGATGTGATTTTCACGTGGACGATGATTGTGCATCCACATGTTAATGTGGCTCCACGTGGTTACAAAAATTAATTGTTGTAAGTACTGTAAAATGGAGAGAGTGAAATGTGAATGTGTCACTGCTTCAATGTATCAAATCAACAATGGAGAGTCAAATGAATGGTTATGGACAGCTTCTCTTGGGGATGTGTTTGGGCCCAAAGTAATTTAGCTAAGTTTGAATTGATGAGGTACGCTTGAAGGCCAAGGGTGGATTCGGCTAAGTCTTGGTTCAATAAGGAGTCTTAAAAGTTAAGGATGGCATAAGAATGTTCATAATATTATGAGGAACAAGGGACAAATTGTATGCCAAAAGATGGATAGGTTTAGAATCCCAGGTCTGGTAGGAGTAATTGAGTTAATCCAGACAAGAAGATAATTCGTTCAAAATATGTCGAGGAGCTTTAGTTCGAGTGGACTCTACCTCGGCACTAGGTAAAAGCTGCCACTATAAATAGAAGATGATGTGCAACGTTCAGACCCTCTTCAAATCAACACACAAATCGGCCCTACGCAAACTCTCACTGTATGTGAAACCATCTCATCTTTGAGAAAAACACAGACCTTTCTAACTTTGTCAAGCACATCTTCAGTTAGGTTTAACAACACTTTGGTTGGCAACCGCCGACACTTGAGTTAGGACTAACAGCACGGGAGCCGTAAAATCAGGCGACCGAGGAACACCTTTAGTTAAGTTTAACAACACTGCTTTGAGACTGACTGGTTATTTATCCAAGTCTCAGTCAACAAGGAATCTTAGAGTCCTTGTTGGGATAGGTCACTTCATTAAAAGCTAAAACTATGAGTGGATATTCACAAGTACATTTCAGAGTTCGGTATTTTGACTGCTGAACCACATTTACAATCAAGACACTTATCTCTTTTGAGTACTTGTGTTTGCATGGTCTGGTAC